TTGATTTCAGAAATTTATAAAGTAGATCAATATTACCACCATTCGCATCAACCTATATCATTAAGAAAGTTCAGCAGTTAGTACTACCACATATTGTTTGTTGCTTTTATTTTTAAAAGAACAGACTCAATATTATTCCTAGCAAAGTATTTCTTTCTGATTATACCCCCTTCAATTCTTTTAACACCCCCTCCCTTTTTTGTGTTATTTGAAGTAATGAACTGAGACACATCACTACAAGAGAAAAGAAAGGTGTTTATGCTATTCCAACCTTATCAAATATGGCGAACTCAAACTTGAAGTGAGTGCAAACCATCTGCTTAAATCTTGATATCTTGAATGTTTCTAAACCTGTGTCACATGGGTATATTAACACGTTGGATTCTGCATAAATAACTATGCAGATATCTTTGCAATGTGAATGTTGTCAAGATGCCTTCATTGCTTGGGGATTAAATCAAGAGGATTGCCAATGACATAAATTTAGCATAACAATGATATAAATTTTGCATAATTGAAACAAACCTTGATCCTTGTACATAGTTCTTGTTTAATGCATCAGCGTAATTTGAATTTTTTAGGCCACTACATCAGAAAATGAAATCATGACGCTCATCAAACAACATCACAAAATAGTACTCCAGGATGAATCAAAAGGACGACATATGTTAACCATTGGAATTGTGGGCATAAAACCACAAGTGAAAATAAACAGAAGTCAAGTCATTAGTATGTTGTTCTTTCACTTGATTGATGAATGATTGCTTGTCTATATGAACATCTACTCCAAAAACTTCCAGTCAGTTCAATAAAAAACCATACATGGAAACTTGACCAATTACAAAAAGGGACAAGATTTGCAAAAAGCTTCCGCTAAAGTCTCCTAATACAGAGAGAGAAGATTTAAACATATAATAAACAAAATACTTCTGAAGCATACCTTAGTGATGTGACAATGACATTGATGAATACGTTTCCCTTGATAAGATCCACATTCTGTAATAAGTAATAGAGGTTGTGAACGTTTTGAACATGGAATGGACTCCACCACCCTTATTCTACCCAATTATCAACCCTAGTACGATCTAATCCTCATATTTATGGGATTGTTGCTTCTTTTAAGTTTATTACACATAAAGCAGAGGAAGCACAAATCAGACGGTAAGATAATGCCTAAGCAACTTCAAGTATCTCTTCCAGACTACCATTAAGGAAAAACCACCCCAAAATTATTCTTGGTCGTCGATCAACGTACAAAAATACGCATAAACCAAATTTTGAACTTCAAATCCTTTATTCCAAAGTACAAAGTCCTTGCCTTTCGAATCGGCTCCCGAACGAGTCAAATCCCAATCCAAAACATGAAAATCCTCTCAAAATCTCTCAAATCCGAGCTCCAATCTCAAAATGTGATAAATAAAATTAAACCCTCGCTCAAAAACTTTTGCTTTTACGACTCATAATTCTCTTCTGCGACACATCATCTGCTGAAAAACTATTGCAAGTGCGGAATCCATTTAAGTCCATATTTCACTTCTGTGGAAAAACACCTCGCATCTGTGAAACCGCTTTTGCGGTCAAGAATGCGCATCTGCGCCATAGTATTTGCGCAAGGTCCTTCGCATATGCGGACCAAGCTGCCTCCCTCCCAACTCCGCATCTACGGCCAACAATCTGCATTAAAACAACTTAAAGGAAATAAAAAATTAAAATTAAAAAAAAAAAAGAACGGAGTCAGGGGAGGCTAATAAAGCCTTTGCTTTAGGCTCCACTAAATTTTAGGGTCCGAAAATATTTTTAGTTATGGATTTTCTATCTTATTTTCGCTTAGATTATCATAAAAAGAAGAAAGGAAAAACTATATTGTATAGCCACTCCCAAAATAACGACCGAAAAAATATACAATATATATTTTGTATATTAACATATAAATCTATATATTTTATATATAATCAATTTTTTTTATATTTGGCTAGTGGATGTAATTATTTAACTGACTAACCAAATGTAGAACTTGCCCAAAAAGAAAAAAGTACAAACTCCTTATAAAAGTAGAAAGAAAAAATGCTTATTTTTTAACAATAAAAATATTTTATAACTTTGAATTAAGCTACTCAAATCTTCACAATGGTAAATAATATTTTTACAATAAAATTCAAGGTAACACATTATAAATATGTGATTAAAATCTTATTAACTTGAATCTTCCATGGAAATCTTTGAATTTGTAGTAAGTGCTTTCGTTGTGCTTCTCAATTCAGTGTATAACATAATAATATGTATATCAAAAAAGTATACTAAAATTTTATTTTCCTTCTTTGTATAACACATTTCAGATTGAAAACTCAAGTTCAAGACGACTCAACATGTCTATCCCTTATTGTATCCCGTGTATATCTCTATGTACATCAGTAATATCTCATGTATATCATGTGTATCTGTGTATATTCATGAAAATTTGTGTTATATATACGATATACAATGTGATACACACCGGAGTTCATAAAATAATTATTTTGTATACACGATATATAGACGTCCTTAAAAACCTATGTGTGATATATACTGATGTACACGACATACAATATGATATACACATGTCGTAGTTGGATTTTTAGGTCTGATTTTTTTACCTGAAACTATTCTAAATCACTTCTAATCTTGCTCAAATTTTGTATATAGCCTCGTTTAGGTATTTCTAACCAATTGCAATCATACCCACTCGTTCAATCCAACCAAAAAAAAAAGGAAGAGAAAAGAAAAACAAAGTTGAAATGCATTTTTTTCTCTCTTAGTTTTGCTTCTAATTTTTTCTAATGTGAGATCAACCTTACCTTTTCATCCATTGATTTTTTTGCATAATTTGCAAGAATTTTTGCTAAACTATGAGAGCGAAAGAGAACATATAGGAGAAAAAATACAAGGAGAGAAAGGGGGGACTAGAAGAGAAGTGAACAACGAGGGGGGGGGGACAGACGGTTTGGGGCTAATTGTTTAAGAAAGAATATATAAGAGAGTAATATTTTTAGGATTTGACTATATAATGCTAATTGTTTGGGGCTATCTTTGCCAAACCTAATATAAGAATTAAAAATTATCAATTCCTGTCATGTGTTGTCACCTAGTGCCATTTTCTCATTTAAAATAGATGTTTAGGGGAATTAAATAGGCCCACGACAAAGAAGTGTATACTGATAGTCTGGTACTAGCATAGGATAGGACGTTAGAAGTAGTTGCCCAATTTTAGCATTTTCACTTATTGAGATCCAAATCGTAAGTGACAACATGTTAAAATATATTTCCTACACAAAGATGAGATAATTTTCTTTCTTTGGAGAGTTGCAAATATGTTGGGAAGGAACTGCTAGTTACGTGAATAGCAGCCGTAGATTAAAAAGTCAAGTTTCCTGTTTCAGCTTTCAGTATCATTTTCTTATCACGCACTAATAAATAGAAAATCATTATACTGCCCCTGATATTCTTTTGCCTTTTAAAGTAGTAAATATCCTACAATAATAAAATCATTACCTTTCCCAAAAATTGATCCCCTTTTCACATTTGACTACTCTCCGTTCATTGGTTACTTTAACATGTAGAGCTGTTGAAATGCTGCTCTCTGACTATTTTTGGATTCCAGGGTTTAAATTTGCCTGATCAGTTTATTTTGCAATATACAAATGATATTAATTATCCCTCTATCAGCATGTCTAGGAGGAGACAAAGGTCCGTGTTGCTGTAGTTTATAATAATCTTCTCTCAGCAAGTTAAGAATTCATAGTGGTCAGGTGAAGTCAGCTTTTTTATTTAGACATCTAGTGATCATTCTTTCCCACTTTACTGGACATAGGTGAAGTTAAAGGGATAATATTCATATTGTTGTGAAGCAAGATAACTCAAATAATTTGTATGGGCCATATATTTGGACAGAGGCTGTTGGGCCAGGGGCTAAACCGCAAAGAGGTCCAAGATTTAGAAAGCCCAACAAGAGATTTGTGTGGGATCCCGGTTAAGGAAGCACATTACTAGGTGAATAAAAGGGGTTATCCTCTAGGTTTTGAAGACTAGGTAAATGTTATGTGAAAAGCTCTGTATTTCTTATCTCTTTCTGTCTAAGCTTCTCATCTCCTTCTTCTATGGCGTATTTCTGTCTTCTCATCCCTCTCTGTTATCTTTCAATTATCCTTTTCTGTATCATTGCAATTTTCAGTTATTTGTAATTCCGTTCAGTGAATCAATATAGCTAGTTGGTTTGGTTGTTATTCGGTTTGTTTCAACTTGGAGTATAAGAGACCAATAATTAAACAATTAAATGAAATGTGCAATGCAGACATATGATGGTAGTTAACAACTCAGGTTGTGATGAGTCGATGCTGATTGTATATGCATTACTTAATGTTGGTTCGCGTCCTGAGTTTGATATTGCTTCCATGACATTTAACACTTGGCACAATCTTCGGATGATTTTGACTGAAATGTAAGCCTCTTCAGTTATTAATCAACTTGAGGTGCTTCAGAGCAAATTTTGCATCTCTTTATTTTCATCATTCAGAGAGTCGTATAGAACTTTCTGCAACGAAACATACACTAAGGCACATAGAGATTGCAGTTTGCAGGTTTTCCATTCATCATCAACGGTTTTTTTGGCTTGATGCTGATATGAGTTGAGCTTGAAGTGAGAATTCATATCGCCTACCCCAACTTTGTTTGGGACTGAAGCGTAGTAGTAGTTGTTGTTGCATCAATTGTTTCTTTGATGAGGTCCTTGCAATAGGGAATTTGCTCATTTCCCTTTCCATTTCAACATGCAAGTTTATAGTTTTTTAGATGCTTATTCTGCAGGGCGTAATATCTTTGAATTAGTTGCACAATATTAACAAAGGAAACAACCTCTAACTTTTCACCCATCAATGAACAAAAGAAGCTGAGGCTTTGCTCGGAGAAGGGAGAGATAGAGACAAACAGTTGCATTTTGAATGTTCATAGTCATGGCAAATAATCAGTGTAACTAGTAAAAACGTGTTTATTTAATAATTTACTACTACATTAATACATGAAAAAAACAAAATTATCTGAAAAACTTTCAGAAACCTGTGTACAATACCAGAACATGAAAACTTTCCCAAATATACTCACACTCATTCTCCTCCATCGATTACCAGCTTGGTAAATAAGAGGAGAAAGGGAGCTGATCGACTAACTCCTACAATTTTCAGCTACTACTATTTTTTGCGCTTATTTATTGAGGTTGAAATGCTTTAACAAGGCTTCCCCTCAATGCAGTTTAGAGAGCCTGAAAATCGTGTCAGGCTGCTCACAAATGATCCTGGCTTGGAGCTGATCATATCAGGACTCCTCAAGAATGCATGATTTGGATTTCCAGATTCTACAAAGAACGCCCCGTTCATCATAAGATCTCCCTGTGATTTCCATACCCAGTTCTTCCACACGCTCTCAGGTGCATAATCCCTTTTGGTCACCTACACATAATAGGAAAATCTTTTGGGATCAGTCTTCTATTGCTGTTCCAAATATGCTAGTCTCTCGATCCATTTCATTTTATATGACGGTGTTTGACTGGACATGGAATTTAAGGAAGAAAACAAAGGCTTTTGGCAAGTACCAAAAGAAAAACTGTTTATACAAAATGAATTTTCTGAATGGTTTAGTGAGAAAATTAATAGTTTTTTCGTTTACCTCTTTGGCGTTTGGATTAGGGGGAGCGATGAAGCGATTTCCCTGGCTAAGGATGGTAGGATGCATGCTTCCTCCAATGGCATACATTAGCCAGTGTGTGTAATCGTTGTTGACAGCATGAACAAATCCCCATCTCACTCTTGGCATCCTCTGCCTCAACCCTTGTCCAAAGTGATTGAAAGCAAGTGTTATTTGCATAATAGAGTCCCTTGAGGAACTATCACTGGCTCCAAACAACATGACCTACAAAAATTTAAGCAAATAAATCAAACGTTTGTCTTCTGTATTCTCATTAATTAGAAAGCAATTTCAAGTGTGTAGAAAACTTGGAATTTCGAGCTAAATATTTACTTCATTATGTTTAGTGAAATGGCAGTTGGAAATGGTAATGGCTGTCGAAGCCTCAACAGCATCAATGAGACCATCTTGACAATTGGACATGGAGACGTGGTCAATCCAAACATTTGTGGATCCAAAGATTGAAATACCATCACCATCACTTTTCGTTCGATAACCATAATGATTGACGGAGTCTCTAATTAGGCCACCATTACCAGCCTTAGTATCATGAATTCGAAGGTTACTAATTATGACATTGTGTATGAACTGTAACATAAGGCCACCACCATGAGCAATGTGCACTTGCTTTCCTCGGGCGTCAATTGTCTTGTTGCTGGTCATGATTAGCTCCTCGTTTAACCTAATTACCATGTTCTTGGCAAATATAATCCAAAGTGGCTGCGGCTGGATCACGGCGTGGCGTAAAGTTCCTGGCTTGGGATTTACTAAATCGTTGTCCGAATTGTCAGTTACTACGTAGATTTTTCCACCTTTGCCTCCGGTTGTCTTGCGGCCAAAACCAAGGACGCAATCTGCTAGTTTCATGCGGTTTCGAGCCCAATTTGGATCGCATCGCCAGCACTGGTCAATTGGATTCGTCGCCTTGCATTGACCATTGTACCTGTGCAGGTCCCTTCTTCTGCTATTGCTGCCTCGTACGGCCCTTGAGATACAGAGACAAATTCAAAATTTAAGAGTCGGTGGATTCAAAATGTATATAATCTATCATATGTAAAAGGCATGGTATACTAAGCTACCATTATGCGTAGGGTCCGGGAAGAATCGGACCACAAGGGTCCATTATACGTAATCTTACCCTACATTTCCGTAAGAGTCTATTTTCATGGCTCGAACCTGTGATTTCTTGGTCACATGGCACTAACTTTACTAGTTATTCCAAGGCTCGCCTTACGCAATCTATCATATGTAATATTTTTAAATTCTTTTTGCATATGTATGCAGAATTCAATTGTAAGCGAAGAGTTCAGTTGACAACATATTTTATGATGTGGACTTCTGTTCAGATTAATTAGATTAAAAAGTTGAGTTCAACTTGTGCTCTTAAATTCCCTACTCAGCTCCAACTAAAAAGTGAATTGAAAGGAAGAAATGAGAGGGAACTTACTTGTCAACTTGGTTGTTAAGATGATCGGCTACAATCTTAGGATTAGGATGATAGGCATGGCGAGCGGCCTTCTTTGCTTGCTGGGCTCGCTTCCGCCACACTTCATCAAACTCCCCAATGTGTGCCTCTATGCTAAGAACTAGAACAAACATAACAAACAAAAACAAATTATTCTTTGTGAATTCCATGTTTGATAATTATAAATTATATCGTACAAATTATGTTTCTCTTGTAAAATTCTCTCTGTCTCTCTGATTGTCTTGTTTTAGCATCCTTTAAAGGGATGATTTGTAATAGAAATGGATAGAGTTCAGCTTAATATATCCTCCACAGTTATGAGGCAATTAGAGCAGAGGAAGTAAATTAAGAAGTTGAGAGGGAAAAGTGGAGAACCGCTTTCATTCTTAACGGTCAACAGTTGGTCTATTTGTTCTAATTTCTTTGACATAATATTATATCCCCCATCTAAATTTGTGATCTTTTTTCATCCCATTCACGAACTAAGAGCGCACAAGCGGTTATAAAAATTCCACGGGAGAAACTCTCTGTTTCTGAATATTGTTGTCTGTAATTCCTTAATATCTACATATGTAAGACCTAAGTGAGCATATTGGAGAGACTTTTCATTTTAAATTTTTAAATTTCTTTTTAAACTTTTCATTTGATTAGGCTTTTCTGGAATTATAAAAGCTCGTGTCCATTATTACATATGTTACCAACAATCATAAATTCACAGTTGGAGGGTGGGAAGCTATAATAATACATCTTCAATGCTTATTAGTAAATAGGAAAAGGAACTGGAGTACTCCAAAATCAAAAAAGAAACACTAGCGTGGAGGGAAACTATTTAGGACGAAACTGTTTGAACGAAAAATATAGCTCTTGGTTCAAATAATTAAATTTATGTGATTATGGGTTAAACCTAGTTAATAATAATATTCCTAGATGTGACTTTCGAAAGCGTGACAATGTTAAATAGATCTGGCAGAAAAGTGATAACAATATGCAATAACTATTCCAAAAAGCGTAAGCAATGTCATGGGTTGCTTTCCATCATCGACCCATGACCCCTTGGACGCGCTCCGTGGCGTCCTGGCAAGCCTCCCAACGCCTAGCGCCACGGTCGGCCTCGTGGTCTTGGTAACGCCAAGTGACAAGCGCGCATGCGCCTCTGTCGCCCCACCGATAATCAGCGTCAGCGGCTGGCGAATGCCAACAGTGTCGCGCGCACAAACCATCATGTTGCCAACAGCGCCGCGCGCACAGATCCAATGTCAAGCACCTGCGCCCAGCCGCAGGCAGATCCAAATAGTGTCGCGCGCGCCAGCAGCCCAACGCGCGCAGACCCTGATGCTCAAGATAAAGTTACTGTCAACGGACTTGCTTCTACCTCGTAGAAGACTAAGTCATTTTTATTATAATTATAGAGTAGTTGTACTTCATTCATTTTCAGTGTGCTTCTAAAGCTTTCATAGGTCTAGTCATGTAACTGTAACACCCCGAAAATTTTTGAAGAACTTAAGTGTAAAGCCCGGTAAAATTTACAAAGAAAATAATATTTCATGGTGCCAGACTAGGATTACGTGTTTGGGGATTGTAGAAATTTTTTGCGGCGAGCTTGCTCGCAGCGACTCGGACCTTTTGGGTTGAACAATGCACGGGAAAGTAAAGAAAATTTTTTTGCGGAAAAGTGTATTTCTGCGGTCCATTATGCGACCGCAGAATCACTCTGCGGACCGCATAATGGCCGCAGAGTGAGGAAGTTGATTGGGTCAATTGGAAGCAATTATGTAGTCGATTATGCGACCGCATAACTGTTATGCGGTGTACTATGCGACCGCAGAACAGTTATGCGGACCGCATAGTGACCGCAGACTCAGGCAGATTTTTGGTCATTTTGGACACCAATTATGCAACCGATATGCGGTCCGCATAACCATTATGCAGTCGCATATGCGACCGCAGAACCTGTTCCGGAGCTCCATTTTTGAGTTTTTAAAATCCGGCCCTATTTCGTTAAATACACTCTTTGGGTCATTTTTTAGGTATAATCTGATATTTTAGAGTGAGTGAGAGTGCCCTAGAGTGAGAAGGTGTTCCTGAATAATTGATTCTTCAATTCTTGCTCAAGTTTTGGAAGATTAAGGAGGAAAACTCACTAGGTCTTCATCCTAGAGGTAAGATTCTACATCCTAACCCTCAATTTCGAATTTTGTCTAGAAATGGGTAATAAGCAAGATAATTTCTGGGCAAGATGGTTGTTTATTTTACATACATGTATTATCAAAGAGTGTAGAAAGATTGTTGAGCTAAAAATAGTAAAGATTGGGTTGTGGGATGATGGAATTCTCCATAAAAGGACCTTGAACCTTAATCCACGCTTAGTGTTTGATAAAATGCTCAAATGAGTTGATACCATGAATATCTTCCTAATTATGGTTCAATTTTTTTTTGTCTCAAATAGATTGAGATTTTTAGAATTTTCGGAACTATTCCAGAATTGACTTCGACAATATAATCTGCTAAAAGTTTATGAACTCAAGTGATGCCCATATGTGGCTGTTTTAGCTAATGCTATGCTTTGTAAGTAATTTTCAATGTGTTTTACGTTCTTACATATTCGTGAGTGGAAATTGTGCATGATTTTAACTTGTATTTCGATTGCCAATCATTTTACTCCAATTATCAAAAAGAAATCGATTGTGTTTAAAAGCCTTCATTACTAATAAATTTAAAGTTGTGATTTCCGGAATATTCTACTTGTTGATAATTATGATGATGATCTATGAAAGGGAAGAAATGAAAGTGTGAAATATGAAATACGGCCATTGCACCATGAATAAAGAATCATATGTATGGCCAAGAGAGCCAATAAAATAATAATGTTGTAAGTGATTGAGAGTACGGATTAGGTGATATGTGGTGCGAAAGGTTATGAGATGTACGTATTTGTACTTTTGTTTCCAATATATTATGAAACACTATGGACGGTCTATGAAACGCATAGGTATATTGTGTTAT